GGGAACAAGTGGGCCGAGTCGGTGTTTGTCTGTGATATTTAGTGAAGTATTGGTGATTGAACCGACGTACCTCAGGATGGCCAAGTTGAGTTACGAGTCAATGTCCGTCTTTTAAGTCTTGTAATAAGCCTGTGTGGAAGCCTGCCAGTGTGTTGCTGGAGACCCCTGGACTCCAACAACAGTCCAGGACTAAGGTAAACTCTCAGATCTAGATGAAGTAAAGTGTAAAGTGTGTGGACATAGGCAGGGACACACACTCGAACACTATATCTTGGATTTTTGTAAAATTGAGCCTTTTAGAGATAAATCTAAGCTCACTCTGTATGATATGGCAACCTATCTTATTACCATGGATAAATTACCTGAAATCCTTGCACTGTACCCACATTTTGCTTCCAGTAGATGAACGACATATGAGATTGAGAAACAAGTAGTGTATTGTGAGGACTAATAATAAACAGAAGCTCCCCTATGACTCTGTAATATCCCCATTGGCCAAACTATTATGTATTAACGACAAGACTTACCATTAATGTGTGATGACTTACTGTAAATATGTAGCTCTTGTAATAGCACTTTCTCTGTAACTAGCTGACATTGTATCTATAAGGTGTGAAGGATTGAAGAAATTGTTTATGTAATAATCTAAGATGAGGTATGAGAAAGACCTTTTGTGCCCTCTGTAATGCTTTTGCGCTACCGCTCACAGGATGAGTATGGGGTGCACAATAAACTAGCCGCCTTCGGCGGCAACAATCAACAATCAATCTCAGTATACATACACCGAGAAGCAAGCTATACACACCGCACGGTGTATACATACATAAAACTGTGCGCCATTCCCATTTCTCTGAACTGGTCCCTTGGCAGACCATTCGCTTGATAGGGGATCTAGCAGCCTGTGGTGTCGCGCGCAGGAATAACAGCTCCTCGCTACTGAACGATCAGCATAGCTAACTGAAATATTTACATATCTAATCTTTAAATTCCCTCATTTCGTAACGACTCATATGTACACATTTCCCAAAACAAATCAACACGTCTATCTTGTGTAATTATATTTGAAATATTAATAACTGGCATTTGAAATAGGGTTAACGGTGTCTTTGGAAATAGTGTTAACGGTGTCTTTGGAAATAGTGTTAACGACAGTATTTGAAATTTGATTAACGAGTGTTGCTCCCGGTCAGTCGTTGACTGATTTTACCTCAGTCAACATCTCCTTTTTGGCGAACACATTTCCACGTCAATCTCGGCTATATCGGGGATCCCAATCTCAATTGTATCAGGGATACAGCCAAGATATGTGAGATACTCACTGGCGATTTGGGTTCCCAGAGCGCCAGAATTCACAGAACCGGTTCGTTACTACGTCGGCTGGCTGGATGACACTACTGTGCAGCATTGTAGTCGACCGGTTCACCACCTGCACCATAGGTTCAAGGCTGGTTATGCTACTACAGTATATAGCACAGAACCGGTCCCGCCGGCTACACAAAAATAGTGCAGGCAAAGCGTTTGCCAACCCGGAGTGGAAGAGTGCAACTTGCACTCTGGTGATTCCATTAGCAACACTCGCCGAAGCGTGACCCCACATCTCTGCAGCCTACTTACGCGGGCTTTAAGAAATGGCACTCTGGTCTGGGTGGACAGGACATTCGTACTCAACGGAGCGCAATGTTTACTTTATGGGTTTATTTCATGGGATATCCGGCGGCGCCCGGGTCGATCCGGGCACCCCAGATCGGTCTGTGTTACCGTGGCACGGCTGTTCCCCCCTGTTGAATTCAGGCGATCACAATCCGGCTATGTTTGGCACGTACCCGATAGGACTCAAGGTGCAAAGTTGAATGGCGCTACACACAAGCATGTAGCCTTTATCCTACGACAGACAGACATTCTAATTTACAGACTTAGATTATAAGAGAGGAAAAGGAAGAGATACAAAGATAAAGATTGTAAAACACGTCACATCTCGTGGTGGTAACAATCTGTATAAGAGAATGTCTGTCTGTCCAGGGGTGGAGACCAGACGCTTGGGGCTAGACTCACCCAACTTCGTCGGGGCATTGGTCTGGTGGACGATTTTTGACCCTGCCCGCCGGGAGAGGAAGGAGAGTTTGAAGAGAGGATAGGAGGAGTGTGCATATTTGAAGAGAGGGCAAAGAGGGGGTGTGGAAGAGGTGAGAGCGGGAGAGAAAAGTGAAGAGGGGTGGGAAAGGGGGAGAGGAGAAGGGAGAGATGAGAGAGAGAGCGGAGAAACAGAGAGGGTGAGAGTAGAGAGAGAGAGAGAGAGAGACCCGGGAGCGGCCGCGCACCACCCCTAGTACAAATATATAATATTTGTGTATGTTGAGTATCATTGAGCATAATATACTTGAAAATATAACTCCTGTTGACTTTACTGAGTATTGGCGCGTTTTATTTATCTATGAGTGTTTGTTTTTTGGGTAAACAAAGCCAGGAACATCGACTCCCGCCTCTGTTTGTTTACTGAATTAATACACTTTTACAGGTCTTCCATTTCCATCTTTCTACGTTATAATGGATGGGGGAGTGGGAGGTGTGGGAGTGATGGGGGAGTGGGAGGTGTGGGAGTGATGGGGGAGTGGGAGGTGTGGGAGTGATGGGGGAGTGGGAGGTGTGGGAGTGATGGGGAGTGGGAGGTGTGGGGAGTGATGGGGGAGTGGGAGGTGTGGGGAGTGATGGGGGAGTGGGAGGTGTGGGGAGTGATGGGGGAGTGGGAGGTGTGGGGAGTGATGGGGGAGTGGGAGGTGTGGGAGTGATGGGGGAATGGGAGGTGTGGGGAGTGATGGGGGAGTGGGAGGTGTGGGAGTGATGGGGGAATGGGAGGTGTGGGAGTGATGGGGAATGGGAGGTGTGGGAGTGATGGGGAATGGTAGGTGTGGGAGTGATGGGGAATGGGAGGTGTGGGAGTGATGGGGGAATGGGAGGTGTGGGAGTGATGGGGAATGGGAGGTGTGGGAGTGATGGGGAATGGGAGGTGTGGGAGTGATGGGGAATGGGAGGTGTGGGAGTGATGGGGAATGAGAGGTGTGGGAGTGATGGGGAATGGGAGGTGTGGGAGTGATGGGGAACTGGAGGTTCCCATCGTTATATTTCATCCCATCTGGTGTAATGATCTGGTCAATACGCTACACGTGATTGTGGCTTTGGAAGACTGGCATTCTTCCAGACGGGCTCCTTCCCGACCCACAATTGAGAATTCCACGTTCGAATCCCAGGCGAGACAGAACTAGATCGATGCGTCTCCTAATGTCCCAATTGACTTGTATCCCAATAGCAGTAAATAGGTATGACAATCCCAATAGCAGTATATAGGTATGACAATCCCAATAGCAGTAAATAGGTATGACAATCCCAATAGCAGTATATAGGTATGACAATCCCAATAGCAGTATATAGGTATGACAATCCCAATAGCAGTAAATAGGTATGACAATCCCAATAGCAGTATATAGGTATGACAATCCCAATAGCAGTATATAGGTATGACAATCCCAATAGCAGTATATAGGTATGACAATCCCAATAGCAGTAAATAGGTACCCAAGAGTTAGCTTGTTCTACGGTTGTATCCTAGGGAGGGTGAGAACAACCCTGGGGGGGGGGAGGCACCCCCTGAATATAAGCCTAACATGTATATACACTGGCTGCCTGTCCCCCGACACGACAAATTATTATTCTTGCTCTCCCACTACACACACACATTATAATTATATTATATAAAAAAGTATAACCAATGCAGTGGAAAACATCCTCTTGAATGTTAAGGGTCCCTGTAGTACAGCCGGGTTTGTTCTCGACGCACATTCGAGAATTCTAGGCTCGAATCCCCGGCGGGACAGATATATTGGGCGCATTTCCTATCACCTAATGCACCTGTTCACCTAGCAGTAAGTAGGTACTCAGGAATCAGTTGTGAGGTTGAATCCTGGGCGGGGTCAGTAATTTGGCCTGGATGAGCCGGGGGGGGGGGGGGGGAACCCCGATATAAGCCTAATGTGTTTGAATTCCCTCTGGCTGCCTTTCCCCCGAAACAATGAATTATTTTATATATTATTTAAAACTTCACATAATGTTTTGGACAGCTCCGTGTTCAGCATTTAATTTAAAAAATGGGGATCTAATTATAGAACTGTTCAACAATACATTAAGATTACATATAAATTTAATCAAGCAAAAAGAGATTGCTAGTCTAAATTATAATTACTCTAATAGTATGTACTAACCTGACAATTATATATGTATTATATATATTACTTATCTGAAACTAAAATATGAACCACAGTGATTCTAGAATTCTATACAAAAAATTTACAATAATATAAAAGACTATAAACCCACAGTAAACAGTTCAAATTCAAATAACAAAATAACTAATGCACAAACTAGCTTTTGAAGCAATATACACAGGTGAACAATATAAGATGATCACTAGACAAAACAGAGCAACTAACCACGAAACTGCGGGACTTAAGAAATTGGATTGAACCTAAATGAAATAATGTTGTACCGGGATGAGACATTGTTATTTAACAAAGGCCTAAGTTCTTAAATATACAAGGTCTCCATAAGTCTTAAATCAAAAGGGCCATTATTACAACTAAAATTGTAAAGCCGCTCACGGAAAAGATGATCCAGTTCTCGCGAGTGCTCCCGTATTTCAGAAAATGATGGTTTTGACAAGGGTAAACCCGTTCTAAAAGACATCCTTTTATGCACCAAAATCCAAATTTTTAAAGTACCTGCGTAGGTAGTTCCATTAGTAACTTTCATGAATGTTTACGAATTTTCATGTATGCCAACTTCTACTTTGGTTTGTTTAATATAAGTAGAGTTTTTTGAGTTTTCCTGCAGCACCCCGCTGCACGCCCCGTGTCCCTTGCCACCAGCCAACCTGCCAGTTCTCATAAACAGAGTTGAGCCTTATCTCTCACAAAGGCCCTGCGGCCTCCGCTCGCCCTGTCATCACTCACCATGGACGAGGGGTCGATGGAGCCGAAACTTCTGATGTACAGCTCACATGAGACCGTTGTGGCATCGTCTGTGGAAGGAGAGAGTGTGTTACTTGAGTCGGGCCTTGGGGATACATAATTAAAGTCAACCCCCCCGAAGAGACCGATAATTTCTTAAGTCAGCCCTCGAAGAAACTTATTTACTTGATTCAGTCCTTGGATACATAATTACTTAAGTCAAACCCCAAAGACTGATAACTTTTTACTCACCCCTCGAAGAAACATATTTATATTAGTCAGTTCTTAAGAGTTATATATAACCACTTAAATCAACCCCCCAAAGAAATGTATTTAAGTCAGTTCTTGGAGATAATTGAATTATTATTATTCATAATTACTTAAGCAAGCTCTCAAAACATATTATATATATATATATATATATATATATATATATATATATATATATATATATATATATATATATATATATATATATTATATATATATATATATATATATAACTATCTTTGTAACCCATATGTAACTCCTTTTTTGTAACAAAGTTCAAATAAAGTAAATATATATGTGTACATACAAAAGAATGGGGGTGGTAGGAGAAGATAATATTAGTGTTCAGTGAGAAACCACAAGGTCTCCTCTGAATTCTTTTTATTTTCTTCTCCGAGGCTATGGGTCCCCATATTGGCACCAGAGGTGGTACCCTCACAAACTTTAAAAAAAATATATATATATATATATATATATATATATATATATATATATATATATATATATATATATATATATATATATATATATATTTATCTAACTTTATTTGAAAATGTCATTACACAAAAAAAGTTACAATATTGATTACATGCAGGGTACAAGGCTGCTTGTCACAAGTTGAATAGTTCCTCCAGCTCCTCATATGGCGGGCAGGAACCATGGATGCAGTGAGCATTTCCTCTCTGGGAAAATGTCCTTTCCTCTCTATTATTCTATTATATATATATTTTATAGGACGTGATTCAAGAAGTGGCACATAAGTCTCTATACAAAGTCCATTACGGGCTCACCATACAATCCATCCTCCTAAAATTGATTTACAATTATTTTTCCTTTTCAAATTACGTCCATTTTCGGCCATATGGGCAAACGGCCAAATTCAGACGTAATTTGTAAGAGGACAGGTTGCCACAGTTCGTGGTGTTTGGAAAATTTTGTTCCCAGTTGCTGAATCTAAACCAACATCTCTTTACAAGGCAGTTCACATCTGTGGTTGTGAGGAGGGGTATGGGTATTTGTACTAATAAGTATGTATTCATAAATATTAACAGAGCCTCCCAACATCCTTTTTTACAGTACATGTTGTTTTAAATTAGGAATATACTACAAATATAAATTATAACGATACACCTCAAACACGAGAGGAAACACTCAGTGAATAGTAAAACTGTTTTGAATTGACGAGATGTAAACAAACCGAGAGTATGGGTGCATTTTAATTCATTACAAGACACAAGGAATGGAAAAAATACAATGTGTAAATCCTTTCTCACTCACCAGATCAATGACCACACTCAGTCACCGAGAAAAGCGAGGGTAAACAAGCTTTCTTGTGAGGTTGGAGCGCGCCCAACACCCAACCTCACTTGGTCAAGTCCGGCTCCTCTCTGTCCTGGGGGTAGGGCAACAGGGGCGCCAACCTCACCAAAACACTCGGGAAAACTTTATACACACATATAGGCGTAAACAATCTCTAATATGCAATTTAACATACTTGCAAATACTAACAAATGAAACCTAAAAATTAACAAAAATAAATGCAAACATATTAAGACAAAACATTTAGCTAATTCAAAATACCAGCTTTACATACAAGTCATTACACGGCGAGTCAGTTACGCAGTTACTAATCCTACTGCACACCCACCTAGCGGGATCGCAACTTTACAGTCATGCGTATGCATGACAGTAAAGCTTACCTACAGGTTGCTTACCTAGAGTAAACAAATTTTGTATACTAGGCTACGATTTCTGGCAGTACATCATTATGAATAAAGTTCCTGTAAATATCCTGAACATTAGATTTATCACCGAATTCTGTGATATTTTCACATTCAATTACATAATGACACAAAGTATGTGAACAGTTTTGCTGACAGTTTATATCTAGTCAAGTATACATCAGCAGGTGTGCAAACTCCCAGAGACGAGCATCGTTGCTAACCTCCATACTTTTTCTAACATTCTCATGTGTTATTTTCAATTGGGACTTCAAGATGAGGCGGCGTACTCGTAAACTCGTCTCCTATAGTTGGTGTACAGTGATCTAAATTGAAGCCTTATTTGATATATAAATGATGTGCTGATTTTTGGTAGTGCTGAGTATGCTGCTGCAATTATTCTATTTTTATGTGCCTCCGGAGTTAGGCTTCGTGTTATAGCCACTCCCAGGTCCTTTTCTCTTGCCGGAACAGGTACGTAGTTTCTTTACATTTTGTACCATCCTTCTGGTCTCCTGGCACCTGGTTCTATTTATATCATGTTACATTTGCTTGTGTTGAGCTCTCATAGTCATTTCTCGGACCAACTCTGCAATCTGTCTCTGTCATCTTGGAGTGTTAGTCTTCGTCTGTCTCGACTCTTCTCATTAACTTTGCATCACCCACAAACATTGACATTTAAGATTTCACTCCTGTGGTTAGGTCATTAACATAATGGGAAATAGTATGGTTTCCAGCACCGACTCCTGAGTAACTCCGTTTGTTACTCTACGCCATTTCGACTACTTGCTTCTCATTGTGATTCTCTGATACCTGTCTGTTAGGTATTCTACCCATATCAATGTTTTTTCTGCTTTCTCTCCTGTGTGGAACTCTGTCAAAGGCTTTTAGGCGGTCCATAAATACACACACTGCCCAACATTCTCTGTCTTATTTAGGTTACGTTATCATAGAACTCCTGTAAGTTTGTTAGGCATGGTTTCCTTTCCTTGAAGTCATGTTAGTGATTATTATTATATCTAATCCTCTTTTGGCATTTAACATTTAACTTTCTTATCCTCATAGTACCTTGTAGTGAATGCTTGTCAGTGTTACTGGTCTATAGTTTAATGCCTTCTCCCAGTCTTCTAACAACTGAGTAAAACTCCCTTCTCAACTTACTCATTAAAGACCTGAGTTAGAGTTATAGTGAGGGCTTGTGCAGCTTCTTTTAACATCCATGGGGAAATATTAGGTGGTTCCTTAGCTTTATTGTTATCTAATAAGGCTAGTTATTTTTATTTCCTCTGCTGTTATCTCAGTATTTGTCAGTTCCTCGTATGTGTGTGTGTGTGTGTGTGTGTGTGTGTGTGTGTGTGTGTGTGTGTGTGTGTGTGTGTGTGTGTGTGTGTGTGTGTGTGTGTGTGTGTGGTCACAATTACAGAAGACTAAGAGAGGAAGACTTTCGTGCTGATGACAGAACCTTTCCAGCCGCAACAGTCGGGGGCAACGGCTCCATTCACGAACATTTGGCCATTGCTTACAAGGACGGGCACCCGGAAAAAAGTTCGTACGTAATCATCTTTGAGTTAATCTGAAATGTTTCGTTTGTCAACACGAGGGTGGCACCTGGATTAACGAGCACTTGGACACTGTTTATTTGAGCAGGCCGCGTGATTCTAAAGTGCCATTCCAAGGCAGGATGATTCTCAGCATACAAGGAGACGAGACTGTGATTGACGCAATGAGTAGATCTATACCAATAAAAGAAAAAGCCTATTTGTCTATTTGTATGTTTGAGGTGGGAGACCAGACGGGTGCAGTTAGCCGCACGCAACTCTCCATGGTAAATTGTAATGTGTGATAAGACGCTTGGGGTCGACCCCCTATACCCCTCACAAGGTAGGATTGGTTCCTATTGCAATAATCAACTACCAAATTTGAAATGTGGGTTTAAATGTCCATAGAGTCTGTTCAACATTTTTTTCAGCTGTTGTCGACGTTCAACGTCGATAACGTTGATGGAACGTTACACGCGCAATGTTTTGCTGCCTAAAAAACAAGGGAGAGAGGGATGGAGGATGAGAGGGAGATAGATGAGAGACAGTCTAACATTTTCACCTGTCATATCCCTGGATGAATGAAAGACAGTTCCCCAGCATCTTTACCTGCCCCATCCTTGTGGCCAGGCCACGGGACAGGACACCGACACGGGGAAATGATGTGCCATTCAGGTTAAGTGGTCGGGGGAGAGTGTGAGGGTTAGAGCGGGATTTTTATGGCAGGATAAATTATTGGAGACTTTCACGTGCTCGCTCTCTCGCCCTCTCTCTCTCTCTCTCTCTCTCTCTCTCTCTCTCTCTCTCTCTCTCTCTCTCTCTCTCTCTCTCTCTCTCTCTCTCTCTGTGGACCCTTGGGAGGGAACCTACCCCCCCCCCCCCTACACACCATCTATCGTGTTGGAGTAACCTGGTAAGGCAATGCCAGGTCAGATTAGGTTAGGCCAGGTTAGGTAAGGCTAGGCCAGGTTAGGTAAAGCTAGGCCCGGCTTGGTCAGGTTAGGCAAGGCTATGCCAGGTTAGGTTAGGCTAGGCCAGGTTAGGTTAGGTTAGGACAGGTTAGGTAAGGCTAGGCCTGGTTAGGTCATTCTCGGCCAGGGTAGGTTAGGTTAGACCTGACTAGGCCATGTTAGGTTAGACCAGGTGAGGTCCAACACAGAGTGATGGACATTTAATTCATGAAATCTTGACAGGTAATTATGAAGCTTTTTCTGATATCTTTTCTGCTTTCTACAGCATATTGTTTAGTGATCTTCGGTGCTTCTGGGTGCTGGGGATCCATCCTTCATCCATCTGGATGCTGTAGGATCCATCCTTCATCCATCTGGATGGCTGGGGAATTCATCCATCTGGATCAAGCAGGATGCTCTACAAATGACACCGTCCTATTGGTTCAATTAAGGTCTAGTAGATAAGATTTCAATAAAAAAATCTATGCAATTGACATTCGCTGCATTTGACTACAATCAAGCAATGATCTCCTATCTGCCAATTAGAGGAATCACTTGTGCTCCTGTGACTATGACGTCTTCCTCGTGGACT